GAAAACCCGACATGTTATTTTCCAATGTTGGTTATTGCTTGAGAACATACATGGATTAGTATTAAACTTTTCTTAGTCAAACTAATGTATCATTTAGCTGTTACTATTCATTTTTCTCAGTGTACATGTCCACAGTTAAGTACAAAATTTTCGATTAGCTATCACCGCCAATGATCAAGTCGGCCATTCATTCCTCTCGCGTCCATCTCCACGACTCACGTCGCCAACAGTTATTTTCCGAGTAATTCAAAATTCTCTGTAACCATCATCATCAGCAAATTCAGTCTTCAGTATTCAGATAAATTTTTTGTCTCGTTTCTCGGTAGTAGATTCGGTTCACGTAGTCGCCATCATTATCCGGCGGTATTTAAGACGTTTTAATCGCGATTCTTAATGTATCGGACGTTACCTCGGTGACTGCGGACAGCCCGAGTAGACGGCGATCTTGGGCCGTGTCGTGGCCCCCCGCGATGTAATTGCAAGCCGCGAGTGTGTTCGAATGGGTGGTCCCGTAACGCGTCCCGCTGGGACGATCGCCCAACGCGGACCAACGATTTTCCCCAATTCCCGATTTACTACCAGAAAATAGCAAGGAATATGGCCAAATCCTATCAGATGTGATTAAAAGTTTTGTTTTTATTTAGCAGAGTGTCAATCTGGGGTTTTTAAAACATCATGTTGCAAAAGACAGGGGAGACTATTGGAAGCTATCAAATTTTGTCAAAAACCCCACACTATCAGATTTTGTTAAAATTTATAAAGGGGGCTCGCGGCGAAGCCGCTCGCTCTCTTCTAAATCTCACACTATCAAATTTTGTCAAAATTTAGGAAAGGGCTCGCGGCTTTGCCGCTCGCTCCCTTCTAAAGCTCACACTATCAGATTTTATTAAAATTTTTAAAGGGGGATTACGGCTTTGCCGCTCGCCTTCTTCTAAACCTCATACTATCTGATTTCACAATTTTTCTGCTAATAAACTCGATACATCTCTATTTGTTACTTTGATAGACATAATAAATTCATGCCTCAAATTAAAAAAAAATTAAAAATTTATCCCATACTTTTTGTTTATTGTAAATGTTCAGTTGTTTTAATTGAAAAAAAGAAAAAAGTTAACTCAATAATTAGACAAATCGACAATCCGAAACCTTTTACAATAATTAATTAGGATTATAGATTTTCTACTCTATTCTTTTGTACTACATATATCAAAACGTTGATAAGTCTTACTTTATTACACTTCAATAAAATGTAATAGGTTTCGCACTATTTTGAAGTAATTTTCTACAATCTGTTTGAAAACCACGCAAAAATTCAGACACTGAAGGAAGATAAAAAATGAAAATTGAATCAAACTTTTTCTTCATCGGCATTTCAGTGAAAAAGACCTAAGAGTGTAAATAAATATATGTGCAGTAAAACTTTCAAAACGAGTTTTTGGCAAATAACTCTAAATGTGTCAGGATTTACGATAGGGTTATAATTAAAAAAAAGTTTTTTATTTAACAAAATATCAAAATTCTAGCTTAATATACTATGTTTTATGTTAAGTTTTTTCTCTAAGTCAAGTTTTCTGTAATTCGAAATTTTATAGAACTTCACGGAAAAAAGTGGCAGTAAATTTGCAGGACAATTACAACTCAGGGCCAGTACATTTTACGAAAATTTTCAAGAAAATTTACATTTTTTCTTGATATCACAAAACTCATGTAAAAGTATTTACACAATTGTTGTAAAATCACACAATTATTTTACAACAATAGAACCTTTTGTAAAAACACAAGCGTTATGTAAATTCACATTACCCTTGTGAATGAGAACCAATGAAAAGTTTTGTAACGGTCACGTGGTTTTTTGTTTTTTTATTTTTTTTTAAATTTTTTGTTGCAAGTCACAGATCGCAACGTGCTTCTAGCTTACCTATTGTTCAAATGTTCAAAAACTCAAAATTCATCTATGATATAAGACTGCACAAATTTTGGTAAAGATAGAGTGGGTAAGTTTTTGCAAAATATTTTTTTTTTCAATATGTTTAAGTGTGGCATGTGTCAGATAAAATTTTTAGCAAAATACTGCCACAACCCTGAAATTTCTGCAAAAATCCAGATAAAGTAAGCACTACCAAACAAGTAAGAAAAAAATTTTACTTATAATTCCCCGAGTTGTGTTGATTGTTTACGTAAATTTTTTCGAGAAATTTGTTAATTTTCTAGGGAATTGATATGGGTTTACAAACAACATTTTTAAATTTTGCCAGGCGCATGATAAAACATAACATATTATCATCAGTAACAAAGTGTTGCATGAAAGTTGCTAATTCAGGACCAAAAACACATCTTGTATAAACCCCTATTTTTACCATGTAAAATTTACCTAGCAACAATGTAATAATAAAACCAATGCAAATTTACTACGTGTGTTTCATTTTTAACTGTAAAATCACATTACAACAAAATCGTAAAATTACAGCACTTTGTAATAATACAATTTTACGTCACCGTTCTTGGTCACAAAATTGTAATTTTACAATAAAACTTTTTTCAGAGACTATTTTTCTTTGTCTTGAAGTAAAAAAAACGTTTATAATAAGAGTCGAATTCTCGGTATTTTCTCGATGTTGAGTGAATCGTTAAAAACAACCCAGTCTAAATTATAAACCTCACAAGTGTCAGAAAAAAATTAAATTGTAAATAAAATACAGCGCTACACAAAAAAAAATATTGACGTAAAGTGTGGGATTCCTCCTAGTATGCTATTGACTATAATTAAAAACAAAACCACAATCAGACGAACTTTTTATAATTCGAAATTATCTTCTTGCATTTAGAGGATTCGACTTTGTAAAAGTTCACTGTATTCTCTTCTAGTCTCCTTCATTGTCGCGAAAAATTTATTGATTTTTTACAAAAACACGAGTACTTGCCCAATTTTCAGATAATTTTTCGATGTTAGACATTTTTTATTTCACAATTTACAAGATTAATCAATGCACAAATCTAAAATAAAGTTTTCTGTAACTAAATACCTATAAAAAGAAAAAGAAAAAGAAAAAAGAAAAAGAAAAAAGAGAGGTCCAACTGTACTTTACAAAGTATAGGAAATGGTATGCCTTTTTCAATTTAACATTGTTGATTTTTTTCTGAGAATCGAATAAAAACGGTAGGTAAAAAACTCGTAAAGGGTAGTACAAAAAAGACATTTTATCATAAAAAATTAACTAATGGAAAACTCAAAACGCGTTAATGTTCTTTTTAAAAACAAGACTTTTAACAATATAGTTTAAGCACTTTTTGTTTAACTTCTTTCCCAAAGCATACGATTTTTCGCGCAAAGCGGTTTTTAAAGAACCAATGAAATTTTTACACTTGAGGAACGTCAAAACTCCACTCAGAGCCTCCAGTTGGAGTTTGTTGTTTTGTGCGATTCGAAGAGGGATAATTGCGGAACTCGTGAAGGGTGGCAGAAAGCAGCGATGTATGAAATGAGGCACTGGAACGGGCAGGGTTGCCAATCGTCTGACATAAAGTCATCTGCAGTTGAGAGGTCATCTCAGGGTCCATCCTGGTTGCCTAGCAACGCCACATCGCACCAGGATCATGCCATCAAAGTAGCAATGTCCTTTCTCTGACTATTTGTAAAGAAGATTCCTTTCGATAAATAAGCCCTCTTTTGTGTCGAAAACCCGTGAAAAATATGCTGTTTTACTCAAAATTTCAACTCGAAAAGGGAATTCTTTGAATTTTTTTTGACATTCCATTGGGGCATCTGATGGGTGTTTCGTATCTTTTAATTGGTATCCAATACCTTGTCTTACATGGTTCGAAAGTGACATCCGATACGCAATTAGAAAGTGACAGACGTGTGACGAGGGATCGTTCAGACCCCTGAAAAAAATCATTACGTAACTGAATATTTGTGAATAATCACATTCTGAAGTCGTTTGGATTAAAACAATGGTCCCCGACTGTGGTCCTCTTCGTAATCTGTTAGCTCTGGCGCTATCTGTTCATCATCCATTAGCATCAACATGGCATTTCGGCCATGGCACGCTAGATATGTGCATGAGAATATAGAAATTTTTCACGGGGGAAAAATTGTGGTAAAGGAGCGGCGCGGCGCTCCAGGGGGTTGGGAATGGTCATTAAAAAATAATTTATACAGATTTTTGGAAAGGATGGTGATTCGCACCGCAGGCGTCCCGTTTGCCAGTTGCTGACAGATTTCATTTAATTTCAGAATAAAATCAAACAAAAAACAAGTAATGACTCAGGCAAAAAATCTGTCAAAAACGATTTTTGTTATCTTTTGACAAAAGAAGAACGTTTATTTTTTTTTAATAAAACACTGAATCGTCATGCTTTTACATTTTTATTTATTTTTTTACCTTGTTTTGTGATAAAATGACGAGATAAGTGAAATAAAAGTTCCTTTTCCTTACAAAATTTGGACATAAAACGTCTCCATTTTGGCGAATCACTGTGACAATCAAATATTTGTCTCTCTGGTCATACATTATGATTCGTGTCCCTTCGCTATGGCTAAAATTCGGTGGAGCTTCATTAATTAAAAATTTCTGGTTAAGTGTCTTTGCTTTTTGTCTTCAAATATCAGTGACATGGCAAAAAACTTCTTCCTTCTTTCTTCGGATTGTCCTGCAGGAATAGAAACTCCTTGGAAGTTTCCAGCAGGACCTAATTCGTTTTCCCAGTCAAATGGGTCTGTTTCTGGTACTATGGTCGCAAGGATGTCGATTTTAGAAGCGTTTATTACCTTGAGATGGGTTTCTTGGCTTGGAATTTTAAATTTGGCTAAGAGTGCGTTTTAAACTATTATTTCGTAGTAAATAAATGTCTGAAATTATCGCTATCTGCACCTGATATTTTATCAGTAGTGTTTATAGTAAATACTTGAGTAAGTTTATTGACACAATGTTATTATCACATCCTAGGACCAAATCTGAGAATAAGCATTTTTTTGAATTTTTAGTTTAAAGAAAAAAACATTTTTTGCTAACAAATAAAGAATTTATTTAGTGGTTCATTACACTTAATGCAAATTATTTTTCTTCTACAGCCTTATCATACACAGAAATAATAATGTACTTATCCTGTTGATCATAATTTACAACACGATCACCTTTGTGACTAAACTCAGGTTGAGCTTTCCCAATAGCAAATTTCATATTAATAGTGTATTCATCTATGGTCTGATCGTTAAAGATAAGTTTCATGGTGAAAGGACATTTAGAAGCAAAATAATTCACTTCTTCTCTTCTTTCTACTGATTGTCCTGCAGGAATCCCAACTCCTTGAAAATTGCCAGCAGGACCTTGCTTATCTTCCCAATCTTTTGGATTTGCTATGGTTACTGCAGTTGCAGTAATGTCTTCCTTGGTGCCATTTATCACCTTAAGATGAGTTTCTTGGCTGGGCATTTTGGAAAATATCTAGAAATATTATTAAAAAAAACAATTCTCTGATAATTACTTAAATAGGTAATTGAAACTTACCAGAATTGCTAGTCAGTTGATTTCTGATGCCTATGTAGGGGATATTGAGTCTTTAAATAGTCAAAATCTTATCATCTGATCTTAATAATCAATTGTTTAAAAAAATCGTCATTTTTTTTCCAGGTAAAAGTAAATGAACTCATTATCTTAATTAAATTAATTAATAAATTCTCAATTTATCTTGATTTTATTTACTAGCACTTTTCAAATGTTTGAATACGTCAATTAATAAGGATTTTAAAATAACATATTGTAGACTCTATTAAACAAAACAAGTTTTGTTAAAAATTATTAAAAAATAGTTATTACAGTTGCAAAAGGGAAAAACTATAGTTTTTATTCAAAATTACTAATGTAATATGCCAAACAGTCATTACATCTCTTAGGCAGTAATATACAGTACTGCCAACGTTAAAACTACAAAAATGTCGGAAATGTTTTCTTTGAAATTGTCAAGTTAATGAACGATAAGATTAAAGTCCAACGTCCGTTGACATTCATAACCTCAAAATATTAATATATTTTGACTATCAAGTTAGAAACAGTACAAAAACTCATATTTCAGTGTAAATTAGTATTTAATTGGTTCTGTAGCAGCTTTCCTTACTTCTGGGAAGTACACAGCTCCATTTCAGCCATCTCAATATAAGAGTTACAATTATTTCAATATTTTCTTTGATCTTTTTAAAATGTCAAAAATCAAACTAAATTTTTGCATGATCTACCACGTTTACTCACAATCACTATGTAGGAATATGCTCATTCCTAACCTTAGAGGTGGAGCAATTCAGAAATTGTCATTACATTCCTTGGTGGGAAAGTAATTTATGGAACATTACCAAGATTAGGTACGAGCCAATCAAATGTCGAAAATTCAATTTATTTTTCTTTTTAATTTATTTTATTCTTATAAACATTGTGGAATTCAGCAAGAACAAAAAAGTAAAAAAATATCTGCTTTTATCTCACTTTGAATTAATTATTAATTTGTTTTTTAATAATTTATTAATTTATTTAAATATTGTAATTATTGCACACTTCCTTAATTTTTTGTGGAGAAGTTTAATTTATTTAAAAAAAGAAATAATAAATTGTACATTGGGTTATAATTGTTAATAATGTCTTTGCTGCCAATATTTGAAAAATAAAAACAAAACATGCTGTTGTAGTTTATTGTTCAGTATTTCATTCAGAAAGAAATTTCTTTGATACGTAGTAGAGATTATTTGATTAACAATTACCTGTTATCACAATAAACAACAGTTACAAAACCTTAATAGATTTTTTAATTACATTAGTGATAAATCTTTTGGAATTTTTGATACTATTCAAAATTATTTTTAAGTTTTACAAATTTTATTATTTTTAGTCATCATTGCTTGATGCAAAAAAGTAAATAACCTCTTTATCTTAAATACTTTAATTATCTATTTAATTTTCCTTTATTTGACAATATGGAGATAGTGTTAACTAAGATATCAAATTTTAATTTTTTTGTGTTAAAATATACACCAGTGAAAAGTAGCAATCATCAAATATTTAGATAAACTTTAGTAATAAAATTGTACTTGCTAAAATTTATATTGGTCTTACCGTTTCATGATCTAACCTGGTACAAGGTCTTTCACTAAATTTGCCTGTACAGATTTATTTTGAATTGCGACAGAATGATTTTTATATTTTATTTAATTCTCATTTATCACATATTAAACAATACCAATTTGTACTAACATTTATAACCACCATTACATAACCAATTTTTGTACAAAATCTTTCTTTTTATTTCGACAGTACGTATGTATCCTCTTTTTCTTTTTGTAAAAAGTATTAAATACTTTTTGTGATAAACATAAGTTTGATCACATTTTTCATTATACCCGGATGTATTTGAAATCATTTTCAGCCACTCATTATACAGTGCGATCAAAAAGTCTGTCTATCAAGCAAGCGTAGAAATTTAAAACGTATGTCTGTGGAAGATAAAATGTCACAATGACAAATGAGAAATGTCAAAATAATTTTTATGTAAATTATGACACGACAACGTGGTGAACAAATAAACACCAACAAAAAGTTATTTTAGTTTGTTTTGAGACGTTTCATATAATAATTCAATTTAATTAGCTTAATGTTTTAATTTTTATAAAATTTTTTTTTTGACATCTAGATAACATACGAACTGTTATGCAACATACGTCCTCAACTAGGACGCGTATTTGATAGAAAGACTTTTTGATCGCACTGTATTTTTATTATAATTTAATGTTTCGTATTTTTTATGATTTATTGATTGTTTACCATAATTTTATTTGTATGTTTTTCAAAAAATTGTATTTGTATTAAACTTCGATTATACCTACCTATGATTTCTTTTACATTTTCATTTTTTGAGGTCTACAGGGTATTTTAACAAATTTGTCCAAGCTGTATAAAAATGTCAGTAAAGAATAATCTAAAATTAGCACTAAATAATTTTGTTATTCTTCAATTTTGTGAGTTGTAGGTTGCAAACACTACTAACAGTGCCACTAAATTATTGTCTTAATGTAAACATGCGAAAAAACATATTCCTTTTATTAACGTGTATTGATTTTTAATTCTACAAATATTTTTTCCTTGTTTTGTAATTTTGTATAGGGGCTATAGTTATTTTGTTTATGAACGAAATAGCACTTAAAGTAATAACAAGTTGGAAGTTAAAAAAAATAAATTGAAGAAAGTAAAGTTATAATTTTAGGATTTAGATTTTTTAAGTAAAAGATTAAAAGTTATACATTTTTATTTTTATTGAAAATTTGTTGTTGAAGATTGAAAAATTAATTATTGAAAAAAAAAACAAATATGTTTATGATGCCAGAACTATGTTTATTTAGTTATCTACACTTTTACAAAGACTACTCATTACAAATCAATTTTCTTCTTTAGCTTGGTCGTGGACAGTAATAATAACGTATTTATTCTGTTGATCATAGCTCACAAGATGGGGTCCCGTATGATGAAAATCAGGCTTAGCTTTTCCAATGGCAAATTTTTGATTAATGCCGTAATCATCGATGGTACCGTCGCTAAAAATTAGTTTCATATTGAAAGGGCAATTGGAGGCCGAACGGTTCACTTCTTCTCTTCTTTCTACAGATTGTCCTGCAAGAATCTTAACTCCTTGGAAGTTTCCAGCTGGACCTAACTTGTTTTCCCAATCAAATGGGTCTGTTCCTGATACTGCAGTTGCAATAATGTCGGTTTTGGTGGCATTTGTCACCTTAAGATGAGTTTCTTGGCTTAATTCAACGGACATTTTGGAAAATATCTAGAAAAATTATACTTAAAAAAAACATTTTTTTCTCAATTACTTAAATAGGTATTTGAAACTTACCAGAATTGCTTGTCAGTTAATTCTGATGCCTGTGGAGTCGATTGTAGGTCTTTAAATAGTCAAAATCTTATCGTCTGATCTAAATAATCAATTGTTTAAAAAAAATAATAATTGTTTCTTCCAGGTAAAAGTAAATGAACTTCATTATCTTAATTAATTAAATTCTCAATTTATCTTTATTTTATTTAATAGCATATTTCAAATGTTTGAATACATCAATTAATAAACATCTTAAAATAACATACTGTAAACCAAATTAAACAAGAAAAGTTTTGTTAATATTTATTAAAAAATAGTTATTACTGTTACAAAAGGTAAAAACTAGTTTTTATTCAAAATCACTAATGTAATATACAGTATTGCCAACGTTAAGACTGTCAAAATATCGAAATCATTTTTTTTTAAGTTAATACACGAAAAGATTTAAAGTCCAACATAATTTCATCGTCCTTTGACATCCATAACCTCAAAATGTTGTGAACGACAGGATGTAATGTTTTTTGACATGTTGACGATTGACAGTCAAGTTGAAAACAGTACAAAAATTTATATTTCAGTGTAAATTAGCATTTTGTTAGCAGCTTTCCTTACTTCTGAGGAAGTACACTGCTCCATTTCAACCATCTCAATATTCACAATTATTTTAATATTTTCTTTGATTTTTTTAGAATTTCAAAAATCAAACAAATGTGTTTACACGATCTACCACGTTTACTTACAATCACTACGTAGGAACATGCTGATTCCTAACCTTAAAGGTGGAGAAATTGTCGTTACATCTCTTGGTGGGAAAGTAATTGTCAAAACTCAATTTATTACGACCGAAAAATAAATATTTTATTAAAAAAAAATGTGGTTGTGAATAAAATATTTTTCTATTTTGCGTCTGAAAGAAAGCTTATTTCGATACCAAAACCGATGCTTTAATGAGCCATTTCAACACCATTTACTTTCTAGAGATTGGTAATGGTAATTTTCAGCGGTGTTTTGACCAATTTCTCTTATTTCAAGTGGTGTACATGAAATATTTGCAGTATTCATTGTTAATTCAACAAAATTTTGAAAACTGTTTGAGACTTGGCACTTCAAAAATCGGATTTTTCAAACTTTGTGACATTTATTTAGGACAAAAGTTCCTAAATTTTGCAAAATTGACTTTTATGTTAAAAAGTACGTAAAACGTGCAAAATAGCATAAAAGACTCGTTTCATAAGTCTTTTGTGGGAATTCGTTCCACAAAAGTTGCCTTTTTACGAAATGCGTTCTTTAGTAGGTATACTATTATAATATTTACCACCTTACATGTAGTACTGTTTTTGCAAAATTAAAAAAATTAAAAACAAAACATGCTGTTATAGTTTATTGTTCAGTAATTCATTCAGAAAGAAATTTCTTTGATACGTAGTAGAGATTATTTGTCTAACAATTACCTGTTATCACAATAAACAACAGTTACAAAATTTTAATAGATTTTTTAATTAATTGATTAGTGATAAATTTCTAATTATTTTTAGGATGTAGATACTAAACTAGATTTTTGCCGCTTTATTGACATTTATTTATTGATAAAAAATTGTTTTTTTTATTGTTTCAATCGACTTTAATTCAATCAATGTTATCATTTTAATCTTTAATTTTAATTAAAAAAAATTGGTTTATTTTCACAACAAAACAGTCAGTTTTAATCACTCTGTATACAAATTTCAGTAAACCATGTCATGTTTCCAATTTTTCGCAATCAAACAATCGCACCACAAAAAGACATCAATTAACAGCCGGACTAAACACAACCAACCATCACACAAAATGAGTTTAATCAATACATTTGAAATAATTGAATAAATTATTTCCGGTAATTAAACTCAAACGAAAAGCCTATTCGAGTCTCACGCGATCAAAAATCATTTTGGTAATTTCACTCGTTCGCTTATTAATTTAACTTTTAAGTACTTTCACCCCTTTTCGTATCTAATTACAAACTTGGAGCGTTTCTTTTTTTCTCTCTATCGATAATTATCAACCGGAAAAAACCCGATAATAATCCTTTTAGAGGCGGCTCCGGTACAAAGGACTTGACATTTCTACCAACAGACGAACATCGAATGCCCACTGAACGCTGCTAACTTGACAAGATAACTTGTTCTGATAGATAGGTAACGTTAGAGCCTGATTTATGGACGACTCAAGGTTTCTAAACTGTTATCAAATGAACAATAAAAAATCATTTTTCGCGTATTTAAAGAGTTACGACCCGAAAACCACTCTCAACTGTAATTAAAATTGAACGCTAAATATGCTAATTACAGGAGTGTAGAGTTCAAGACAACTTTAATGACGGTGGTAAAATCAGCAGGAGATTCATGAAGACACTAAATAATCTTAAATACATCCTTAGTGCAGATGAATGACAACTTTGACTGTCTTGAAGCAACTCTTGAATAAAAAAAAGTCATATCGTGACAACTTGACAAATTTTATATCATTTTGAATAAAATATTTATAATATTTGCCACCTTACATGTAATACTGTTTTTTTCAAAATACTCAATACAGCATTAAAAAAAGAAATAATAAATTGTACATTGGGTTATAATTTTTAATTATGTTTTTGCTGCCAATATTTGAAAAATAAAAACAAAACATGTTGTTGTAGTTTATTGTTCAGTATTTCATTCAGAAAGAAATTTCTTTGATACATAGTAGAGATTATTTGACTAACAATTACCTGTTATCACAATAAACAACAGTTACAAAACCTTAATAGATTTTTTAATTACATTAGTGATAATAAATGTTTTGGAATTTTTGATACTATTCAAAATTATTTTTAAGATTTAGATACTAAATAAAAGTTTTAATAAGTACGAGAGGCCCTAGAAAAAACATAACCTGTCTTGAATAAACTCTTGAATAAAATAACACAGGACGACAAAAAAATGCTCTAAAATTTTTTTTAAAAAGTCCACACACTGAACTAAATATTTTTTTTCTAATTTAAATGAATTTAAAATACTTTAATTTTAAAAAATCATTACTCAATAACTATTAGGTCGATTTTCTTCAAATAAAGACTATTCTAAAGAGATGGCCTTGCCCTTTAGAATGATATAAAATTTGAAATTAAATATTGGCAAACTTTTTTTCGAACAGTGTTCGAAGAAGTTCGAAGTAAATCGAAATAATCTAAGAAAAACCCTACGAGTAAATTTTTTCTCATCATTACCATCGTGTAGAGCATCTCTTTATTAGTTGTAATACAAATTTTCAAAAGAATATACCGAGTAGTTTTCAAGATATGATTTTTTGAAGTTAAGGTTTGCTAATCAAGCATTGCTCCATTTAGGAGAAATGCATGTTAATCTTACTTAAAATTGCATTTTTATAAAAGTATTTGTTTTAAGACTCTTCTTTTGCTTAAAAATGGTCAACTCCATCTTCTTTGTTCTAATTACAATAAACAAAAACTGTTATCACTTTTAGAACAAAATAACTCTTTATTTGCTTTAATTAGTACGCAGACACTCTTTGTTTGTTTTAAGTAAAGAAACAATTTTTGTTTTTTTTAATTAGAACAAAGAAGGTGCAATTGACCAATTTTAAGCAAAAGAAGAGTCTTAAAACAAATACTTTTATAAAAATGCAATTTTAAGTAAGGCTAACATGCATTTCTCCTATATGGCGCAATACCTGAATAGCAAACCTTAATTTCAAAAAATCATATCTTGTAAACCACTCGATATATTCTTTTGAAATTTTGGATTACAACTAATGAAGAGATGCTCTCCACGATGGTAATGATGAAAAAAAATTATTAGTAGGGTTTTTCTTAGATTATTTCGATTTACTTCGAACTACTTCGAACACTGTTCGAAAAAAAGTTTGCCAATATTCAATTTCAAATTGCATATCATTCTAAAGGGCAAGTCAATCCCTTTAAAATGGTCTTTATTTGGAGGAAATCGGCCTAATAGTTATTCAGTAATGATTTTTTAAAGTTAAAGTATTTTAAATTCATTTAAATTAGAAAAAAATTATTTAGTTTAAAGTGTGTGGACTTTTTGAAATTTTTTTAGTGCATTTGATGTGTCTCACTGAGACGAACAAAATGATATAAAATTTGTAAAGTTCACCCTTGGCCTAACAAGCAGATGCTCCAACTTGGCGACTTGTCCCATACATTTTCAATTTTATTCGTCTCGACTGACATTACTTCCTCTTTCACCCTTAATTAAGCCACAGAGACGGACTCTCACAAATTCGAGTCCGGCCCTGGCCTTTTAATTATTACAACGCGCACAAATCCGGTCTCTCTAACGAACTTAATTATTAATAAATTCAAAATTAAAAGAGGAAAACGCCATCCCGATTTCTGAAAAGGTACAATGGGATATTTTACGATTGCTTGTGATTTGTGGGCCAATAAAAACGTTGCATCCAATTAAATCTAATTAAGAGAAACAAAAAGAACTCTTAATTGTTTGGGTGAGGTGATGGAAAAATATTTTCCGCGTTTTCATAGACCATTAAGTTGGTAAATAGTGAGTTGGTGGTTTCAGAGACTCGTCGCCGATCTTCACGGATTGTTGAGGAATATAAGGGAGAGGCTGTTTCGTGGGGGCGCCAGTGGCGGCGCCACGGAACTCGCTTCCTGTTACCGGATATCGCGACTGGTTCTGAGTGAAATTAAGTGCAGTTTTTGGAAAAATTGGAGATTGCAATAATGTTATCCAATTTGATTTTTAAAAATCGGGTTGTTAACTAGGGTAAGTCGGGGAGAGATGGATCACATATTGAAAAATCGACTGTAAAATTACTTGATTTTTATTTTTATTTAGAATGTTTTTTTTTTATAACAGTCCTTTTTATAAATGTAATAAAATAAAAAAGACGTTCTTATATACATATTTTGATGTGTAAAAGTCTATCTCTTTTCTACAATTTATTAAAGGTAACTTAAATCTCGTTCTAGAGAACTTCTGAGTAAAAAAAATCTATCTCTCCCTCTGGTTCATCTCTTCCAGATTTACCCAAGGAGCCGTTAACTTAAAAAAATGGGAACAACTAATTTCAACTCCAAAAAAATCCATAAA